CGGGCTTATATTCTTGGCTGACGTGAAGTGGAAAGATTATATTGAATCAATTATCAGGTCTGTTGCTAAGAAAATTGGTCCACTCTCTCGTGCTAGACATCTCCTGAATCTATCTTTCATATTTATAAGTCTAGCATTCGTCCTGCCTAGATCATTGCTGCCGCATAGGGTCCGGTGCACCCGCTCTCTATATAGAGATTCTTGATAAAATTCAGAGAAAAATCTGCAATATTATTGGTACTGACCTGGTATCTCGGCTTCACTTACTCATTGCCGTAATGTAGCTTCTTTTTTTAAAATACTTTTATGGTAATTTTTCGGATTAACAGTTCGCTCTACGAACCCTCGTTGTCACTTTTGGGATGTCAGTGAATACTCGTTGTCACTTTCGTAATGCTCGTTGTAGTAGAGACTTTATAATTGCAGATACAACTATAGTAACGCCGTTGAACAATGCTGATGTCAGACGCTTTCGAATAACACTCGCACTAATCGTACTTGCTCGATAATACTGGCTCGAAAAGTCACCACCGAATAGTGATCAGTATAGAGAATAGTGTAGAGAATAGCGATTCATATAGTAATAAAGAATAGACTGACTAGAAATAGCGACCAATTAGACGTCACGCGACTTCCTACATATATACGTTGCGTCTATGGTCACGTGGTCTATTTATTTCAATAATGAGATCACCTGTATTTGATCTATGTTCAAACACAAGTGTCGGCAGCGACACTTTATTTCAATATAACACTATATTATCTAAGATTTATAAATTTAATCGCAGTACTAGATTGGTGGCAAGATGTCATCAATTTACAGTTCAGTTGGATAGATGTAAGCGTAGGTTCTGTCTATATTGCTGAGATAAGGTATTATGTACACTATTTACATTATTCGGACTATTGTCCTCATCTTTGTCGCCATATTTATTACGTTTCGGCCTTTCAGTATCTGTCTATATTTCTGAGATGAGGTATTATGTACACTATTTACATTATTCGTACTATTGTCCTCATCTTTGTCGACATATTTATTACAACGTTGAACCAGTAATAAGGAGTGTCAGAGTAAAGCGATAATAACAACAAAAAATGCAATATGAACTCTGGCAAAAATGCTTGCTGAAGATATTAGGTTTATAATACCCAGAAATTCATACACAGATGTCCTCAAGGACACATGACACAGTGGATAAAGGACCCAAAGAGTTGTGAGTTCAATACTGGTTAAGGCGGTGGAGAACTTGGCGAGAGGAATTAAGAGGAGATAACTGACATGGCATTGAATTAGAACAGTCTACCCCAGTGAGCGAAATAAAGGGTTCAGTTCGACATTCCAACCAACTGAAGAAGACCGAAGCGTACAACGGTGGAAATGTAATAAATATGGCGACAAAGAAAGGACAGCAGTGTAACCGTAGGTTATATGCTGACAAATTCTTTTCTCGCATTTGTGGAACTCTCAATTTTGAAACCGTATTCAGAAAATTAAAAACATCCCTACCACACACTGACACATACACAGAACGCACACACTCAACTAAGCTGAAAATCTGAGAATATATATGTATGTATGTATTGTACATATTGTATATATATGTATGTATGTCTTGTATATTAAAAACGGCAGACAAGTTGCTAAGTTTGTGTCCGAACAACTATTTTCTTTTTTGGACTCAGAGTATGTAGAAACTGCCCAAATGTTCTATAATTCCGTGCCCTTTCGGCTATAAGTTTAGCCAGCATCAAGTATGATTTTATTTTTTCACTTTAATTGGGTGTGTGTATTGTGTGTATGTTTTTAATGTTAAGATGTTTTATTTTCTGAAAACAGTTATCATATTCTGGCCGTGTTCGTAGTTAATATTGTTAAGTGTTGGCTTTTTTCTTTTTTCTTATTAAGGCTTCCATTATTTTTAATCTTTTTTTTTAATATGAAAGCGGTTATTTGTATTTTCTACTAGTATGTTTCGGCTGGAGTCTGGTAAGTTTCCGTGAGTGCTTAAATGGATTCTAATGGAGATGTGGTCAGATAGGTGTAACTTAAGGCGTCCGAAATATATATATATATATATATATATATATATATATATATATATATATATATATATATTCCATATCTCTTCTGTTGCACAATATGCACTTAATCCAACAAAATTATGAAAATTATACTGATTATTATGCATAAAAACAAAGTATTTAGATTTACTACATGAAGACCACAAGCTGGCTATCCTGAGTAATTACTGATGACACGTCCCTTATATATATATATATATATATATATATATATATATATATGAGTATGTATATTTATTTATTTATATATAGAGTGGCTGCAGACGTCTGCTCAGGTACATTTGTGTTTGTTCAAAGCCTACATTGGCCACTTGTGGTAAATAGTGCAACTGACCGGACCTTAAATACAGTTTCTCGGAGAGAGCGTGTTATCTAGCGTGATCAAGAGTCTGAACAAGGCCAGCACACTCAAGCCCTCGATCACGATTCTAACTCCCTAAGGTTTACGTCTACCCAATTTAATTCAAAAGGCTTGGGTCAACCCGTTATATGATTATCCGTCAGCACGCTGGAGTTGCCTGATAACATGAAGAAGTTCCATTCCTGACATTACACACACACACACACACACACACACACACACACACACACACATATATATATATATATATATATATATATATATATATATATATATATATATATATAACTGAAAAAGACAATAGCATAGCAAGGAATATCTGTGAACGTCGCCACGAAAGGAATGTTGGAAAAGCCGTTTTGAGTTTGCTCAAAATGGCTTCTTCTGATGAAAATAATTCTCTTTCATATCAATAACATCGTAAGAGCACTCAAATTGTAATAAACATGAAAATGCCAAATAAAAACCTAATATCTGAGGTAAATATAGAATCCATTTAGGATGTTATTTTTGTTTCCGTATTATCGATTGTTCGATCAAATATCTAAAAATAGAGATGTGCTTTTTATCATGTTGAGAGTGTCTATGCACTTCCGTCCAACAATTGAGTCTCTTTTATTTTTAAATTTCCGGTTCTCGTTTCGTCTCAATATGAATTCTCAGATTCACATCTTATGGTTTTTAGATTGCAGAAATATTGCTTTACATGGTGCGCCTGATTCTATTGTTGCATGTCTCTGGGAATTAATAATGAAAGTTAAACAAGCCTCTACCCGATCAAATACATACATACAACAAAAAATATAAAGTAAAAAAAAATTGTCAGAACTATTTTATTTCCGTTAATACTCGGTGATTTATAGCGACTGACGAGGATACTGACCCAGAACATTGCGATAAAAAAAGAATAAAAATAAAATAATAATATAAATGAAGCGTGAATTGAGCCAGAGTGTTGGGATAAAAAGCAACAATAATAAGATGGAATAAAACTAGTAATAAAATAATAGTAATAATGAAGAGTGTATAGAACCAGAGTGTTAGGATAAAAAGCAACAATAATAAGATGGAATAAAACTAGTAATAAAATAATAGTAATAATGAAGTGTGTATTGAACCAGAGTGTCGGAATAAAAAGCAACAATAATAATGTGGAATAGTAATAAAATTATAGTAATATTGACGATATTAACAGAATTTGTTCGTCGAGATCGAGGAAAACATTTCCCGTTCGAAAACTGATCAAGCCGTTGTTAACTTGATACTTCATGACAGACGGAATGAATATTACTTGGCGTCTTTAGTACTGAAGAGATCTTGTTTAATACATACATAATAGATCTCTTCTGAGCTAAATGGATTTAAAGAGGTATAATCAATATAAATTCTGTCGACTTTGATAGTAAGGTAATCTCAATGAGATAACAATGACATCTCCCAATCTACCCATTTTCAATAGTAAGCATTCTGTACAAAAGGCGCCTAATTACAAAGGTTTTAGCAGAATAAAACTTCTCCAGTTGATATTCGGCGTTGTCTACTCGATATTTATTGCTAAAAAATACAGCAATTGTGGCACAAGGCCAACAAGAAGGGTTAAAGCTGGTCGTCACTATCTTATGCCGAGGAAAACCGATTCACGACCCAATTATTCGTTACAATTTAAACATTCACCATAAAATCTCTTCCGACATCATTCACTCCTCCATACACCACAATACCGAGGACACAAAGTGGGTACCTATAACAACACACGATGGCATCAAAATTTACGTATATACAATTCTATACAAAATTTATCGATGATAGCCAATGAGTGGGGTGGGGAATGAACCAACTAGTATATAAGAAAATACGAAAATTAAAAATAATTGATGTTATTAGGACCCCCTCGAATGCTCAAAAGTAATGAGAAAGACTGTTGTATTCTGTCTACAGACAAAATGAAGAAGCCCCCTTGCTATGGGAGAAGGGAAAATAAATACGAACATAGGGAAAGAAAAATAACGGAACCAGTCGAGATGAAAAAAAGGGGCCAAAAAACAAACTGGGGAGGTTGGGAATCACGGCTTGGGTCATAACCACACATAAAACCGGGAACAGGCGAGGAAAAATTCTTACACACATTAACTCGGTACACAATAATGGTCTATCCTATCCAGTGTGAGGGCTCCTTAGGAAACTAACCCGATGTGTCTTAGGGAGACTTAAAAAAAAGAAGATCAAGTCTAGCCCCGTTGACGAGAACCAAATAAAGATCAGAACTTGGTTATTTTATCCGAGTATTGAAAACGTAACATCAAAGTTATCAGGTTGAAAATGCACTAGAAATCTTTCTAATCTCACGGTTACAGTGAGAAAAGTGAATTGCTTGACGTGTTGTATAAAGAGATAGAAAATTTGTGTGTTTGTATATCTGGTGTACTTTTGTTAATGGATGTCCTGAATTACTGTGATTATAATTGCTGTCATATTCAGAATATCATGAACAAAATTCTATTCATTATACGTTATTGATGAAGTTTTACATTAGCGTGTCTTCAGCTATAATGACAAAGATATCTGACGAGAATAAAGTGAATTGTCATTCGATATTCATAAATCTAAATCCTCTAATCTTCCGCTTATTTTGAGAAACTTTTAGTTTTATTTCTTCGTTTTTTCTATTCATACTAGCAGCATGACCCGGCGTTGCCCGTGCTTGATTCAAAAATCGTACGACTCATAAAGCAATCGCTATCACTTGACTTCACCACTTGTTCAACACTGCAGTAGCCATGTACTGAACTAACAACGCTTTTATCAAATAAGTTTATAAGTCCCCAAAATTCATACGCTGATATCTTCAAGGAAACATAGCCAAGTACCTACTGCTGAAATGGAAAGTAGAGTTTTAGTGAGATAACTCAGACATCAGAGACAGGCATAGAACGGTAAAAGTGTTCAGTTCGAAATTCTAATCCCTTGAAGAAGGCCGGAGTATATAGCGGACGAAACGTCGTGAATATGAGAGTAAAGATGACGCCAACAGTCCGATGTCCAATGTAAATAGTGTGAATAAATACAATACCTCATCTCAGAAATATAGACATACAGACAGGATGTATCCAAAAATATTTTTACAAACTTTGGGGAAGTGTTTCACGCATAACACGCACCCCTTATTTGATAGTCAAAGCCTATAAATTGTGCCTCTCCAATTTCATTACGGCCAGAGTTTTCTACTCTTATTTAAAAAAAAAAATGGTTTTAAACATAGAATAATATTATTCTAATTTAGTTTTATGATAATTCTTATTTTATTTTACATTTGTAAATATTGTTATGATTGTATTTGATATCCTTACGGTGGTTGCAATCGCTAAATGTTAGTGCCAAATTGTTGTATGTTTGTGGTGAGTCGTAATTTCGCAACTCAAATCGATCTATAAAACAGCATTATTTTGTAGCTGTGTTTAATGCGCAGCCTTAATTTTGTTTATTATTTTTTTTTAGAAAAAATGCGTATTATACATGGGAAATTACAGTAGTTTCCTTTTCTTTCTGTTCATGTTTCCATCACTTTTCTTATTAAATATCCCACATTGTGGCAAGAGAATGTTTGCCAAGAAAGGCATAACTTTACTATGGATGATCTAGTGATTAAAGCGATTTTTAAACATTTTAGTCTTAGCAAATTCCTTTCTCTTTTGATTAGAGTAGCATTTGTAAGTCAAAATTATGCTCAGACCCGTTACAGTGTGTAGCTAATGCACGTGAGTGTGTTATCTTGTAAAATGTTCCTTTTATGTTCATACAATATTTTCTTTAATTTCCTAAATGTTTCTCCTGTATATTTCTTGTTACAATTATCACATGTGATAAACAAATTTCTCCTTCAGGTGTTAGCTTATTATTTTATTTTGTAACAATTCTGTTATTGCTTTAGATGTGCGTTGTGGTATAATGGATATCGACCCGGAATGAGAAATCCGAGGACTGAGTTCGAATTCCAATCGCGTTTGTTACATTCACTTACGCACAAATATCCTTGGGAAAGATATGAATCCATTTTGGGTGCTCTAGCCTTGGTTGACAACCAGTCTACCGCAGAAAGAAATGGCAACCTACTACGGGAAAATCTTCAACCCAGTCAGGCATGATTCGAAAGAGACATAATCGTTCATATATATCGTGTTGGCACTTAATTGAGTGTTTTAGAGGTAGTTGTAATACATTTTATATTCAGATTAGATAAATTCTTTTTGAATTTCTCCTACCTAATAGACTTTCCTGAATTCTGATAGGCATATAACGTGTTTCTGAAAAACGATATATAAATACCTGATCGGTCGAATATTCCCATACTAAAGACAATGAAAGCAGCCAATACGTATATGTTTTGTGTTATATAACCCAAACAAACTAATGATATAGGGTCATCTGATGGTTCACTCTTTGATGTAATGGGGTAGATATTGGTCTACGCAAAAGAAAAAGAATAGGGTTGATGTAGATGGATTGTATACCCTTTCATTCGACAGTGAATTAAAAAATTCCCGATTAGCAACAAAACCGAAGTTTACTTGTAATAGGAATTTTTCCCCTCAAAATTTTCAGTTAAAATTTTCACTTCAATACAAAAGAAAACGAAACCGCTAGGATTTAGAAGTCTCTTTCAAACTCAAAACTCCTTTACTGACAAATAGTCTTAAAATTTCCATACTAAAGAAAACAAAAGCAACCAATACATAATATATGTTTTGTATTATATAACATTACGAGGAAAAATCTCATGGTGAAATGACGTCTAAATTCATTTTCAGCAAAAGTCAGAGACAGTTCAACGTTGGCATATTAATCACAAAAAACATGTGACCTAACGTAACAATGCAGAAAAAGAAGAGTGGCGATGATGGATAGATTGTATACCTTTTCATTCCACGGTGATTTAACGAATTCCCAATCAGTAACAAAATGAAAGATTACTTGTAATAGAAATTTCTCTCTTCAAATTTTAAGTTAAAATTTTCGCTTCAATGCGAAAAACAACGAAACTGCTAGAATTTAGCAGCCTCTTTCGAACTAAAATCATATGTCTCTCTCTGATTCACTGGAAAATAGTCGTAGAATTTCCATACTTAAGACAATAAAAGCAGCCAATACATACCATATGCATTGTGTTATATAGCAGTACGAGAAAAAAAAGCAAATTATCTCCTGGGGAAAAGACCGGAATGCAATAGAAGGTCTTCACTCTGGGAAAATTTGGTGTGGATTTTGGTAAATATATATATATATATTGTCTTATTTTGGGGCGAATTAATATTTTGAGGTGAAGTAACAGAAGAAATCCATATAATTTAAGGAAGAGAACATATTTGAGGAAAGGCGTCTTAAGTTTTACCGTTTATTTTCTAATGTTTATTTTTTTTTGTATTTAGCCTATAAAACAATATCAAATATCTATACATACATTATGGGACAGACATACCTCTAATACATACCTCCCAGAAATACTTTCCAGATAATCGTAGGATTTTAACAGGTATTTCTTTGAGGTATATGTGATAGGTATTTCTGCCACACACTGTATATAGTAAAATGTCAACCCGTGCCCAGGTATCACCACTTGTACGACTTTATTGTTGAGTTCCTTGCCGATATTGACGCATCTGATGAGTCATTATTCGACTAAGTGATCTACACATCAAGCCGTAGTCTGCCTTACTTTTTAATCCATAGCTGGAAGAATATAGATGGGCATTTGTTCGAAACTGACTAAAAATGACTGAGCTAGAATTCGAAATCGACTCCGCGACTTCTTATATTTTCACACCGTTGAATGTTAAGCTAAACGCGCATCCAATTCTATTTAAAGCCTAAATATTGAAGGCGCTGTAAATTTTCGTGGTGCCGAGCTACAGAAAAAAGATTTTTTTCTTTTTTACTGGAGATACTGGAGATTCTGTGGAATTCATTATGTTAATAGAACGTATTTAGCGTTGGCATTTGGCGTTTGATTTCATTAAATATAATATGTCGACCTCGCAAACTTTCTCTCTCTGTGCCGGAGACGATCATACACAAATAAATGGATAAATATATTTACCAGCCTTAAAAATTAATCTGAACATAAATTTTACCTAATTATTCAGAATCAAAATAAGGGGAGGGAAGATGACCAACAGTATGTATTCAGAGAGTGATGAGATAATGGAGATGCAGATTCAAAATTGGGGTAGGAAAGGGGAGGAGGCGTTATGTATTCAGAGAGGGGGTGGTAATGAAAAGAAGGGGGAGAGAAGCAGAGATAT